AAGAAAGAAAGAAAGAAAGAAAGAAAGAAAGAAAGAAAGAAAGAAAGAAAGAAAGAAAGAAAGAAAGAAAGAAAGAAAGAAAGAAAGAAAGAAAGAAGCAATTGATATCACTTTACACACATAGAAACTGCATCCAGAAAGCTCAGGCCTAAGACCTAGCACCTTGCCCATGGAGTTGTTTGTACCTGCACATACCTACGATACTAATCTTCAGTTGTGGAGTGGGGTGGGTATCCAGGGGGTATGTTAATCTATATTCTCCTGTCCCCTGATGCTCCCCTTGTTAGCTAGGCAGCTACCTGACTTCTAAATTAGGAGGCTTCATGGAAGAGATAAGGTCAAGAGCACTAACTTGTTTCCTTGAGAAATGAAGCCTCACTCCATCTTGTTCCCTTCTCCCCAGGTGGAATTCCCAGAGGCCCGAATCTATGAGGAGACACTCAATGTCCTACTCTATGAGACCCCTCGAGTCCCTGACAATTCCTTGCTAGAGGCCACAAGTCGGAGCCGCAGCCAGGCTTCCCCCAGTGAAGATGAGGATACCTTTGAACTGCGGGACCGGGTCCGCCGCATTCACGTCAAGCGCTATAGCACTTACGATGACCGGCAACTTGGCCACCAGTCTGCTCATCGAGACTAATGAGACCTTTAGGAAGTCAGAGCACAAGGAGCCATGTCTGCTGTCCTGTGGAAGACACCCCATTGGCCACCCTATCCTGCTCCTGCTAGCTGGGAGCCTGCTTTAGCAAGTAGCGGAGCCAGGCCCTGCTTGGGAGATCAGGGAGCCCACCAGAGGAAAGGCCACATTGTCTTACCTGGTCCTCCTCCCCCATCAGATGCCACCCCACTTCCTGCCCGACAGGGAGCTACTTCTGCTCCAGGGTGAGTGCACTGACTTCCACCTCCTGCCAAGAACATTCCCCAGGCCCTTGGCGGAGTGCTCCTTTCCTCTGCTGAAAGCTCCTTCAGTCCCTCAGCTGAGGCCCATGGGAACAGCTTTGTTCTGCTGGAAAGGAGGCTTCTGGGGCTGCAAGGACCCAGTTTTGAACAGAAAGGGCAGCCTTTTTTTTTTCTAAGATGTTTAAGCATAGGTATGGCCTGATTTTTTTGTTGTTGTTGTTATTGTTGTTGTTTTTAAATCTAGATGTTAGCATGGTGGCCTTGCCTATAATCCCAGCTATGGAGAGGCTGAGGTAGGATAAAAGGTTATAGGCTAGCCTGGACAACTTAGCAAGACTCTGTCTCAATATAAAGTTTTAAAAAGAGGGCTAGTGGCATAGCTTAGTGATAGAATACTTACCTAGTACGAGTGAGGCCCTGGGTTCAATCCCCAGTACGGCCACACACACAAAGTCTCTAGGAAATGACTAGTTCCTAGTCTGATGAGAGACAACCTAGGACTAAGCATTTGTCACCCTGCGGGATGCCAGGCCCCCACCTAGACAGGTCCCTGCCCACCCACCCAGCCCCCACACTCCACCCTTTTCAATGCCCTAGGACTCATCTTTAAAGCACTTTGTATATCTGTCATTCGGGAGCCTATTCTGCCTTGACCCAAAGCTTTTTCTGACACTAATCCCCTCCTGCAGAATCTGAGGGAGGGATAAAGAAGCAGTTAGTAGCCAGGTGTGCTAGCATATGCTATAATGCCAGCACTCAAAGGCTGAGGCAGGAGGATCATAAGTTTGAGACCAGTCTGTGCTATGTAGTTAAAGTTCCAGGCTAGCCTGGGCTACGTAGAGAGACTTTGTCTCAAGAAAAAAGCAAACTGACTAGCTTTGGCTTTGTCAATGTGACTGGCCAGCCCAAAGAACACCCAACAGGGAAGGATGCCCAAGATGAGACCGTGGTTTTAATATCTCCCTATGGGAAAAGATACCTCACCCCCTGTAGGGCCAAATCACTGACTCAGACCTAACACGATCGTTTGCTTTGGGTCTCATACTTGGGTATGCTCAGCTCTAAGACATGTTCTCCCCACAGTCCATAAATCAAAAGCTGTGCTGCGGGCCCAAAACACAAGCTGCAGCAGGAGGCTATGGAGCAAACTCTTGGAGCCCCATGCTGCCAGCACTGCCCACAGATGTGGCCCAGGCTTGGCCATACTTTTGCCCAGCTCCTGACATCATGTTTTGGTTTCTATTCTGGCTCTGGTGGTGGTTCTGTTTGGTGATGAAGCTCCAAATACATAGTTACCAGGGCAACTTAAGCCTTTTTAAAGGCCCAAATTTCTTTTGGGTCACTTGATCATAGAGGTACCAAGGTCTAGAGTAGACGTGAATTATTCCTCTGGGCTTTGGTTTTCCGCCCCTTCTTTGCTGGTCTTGGCCCTCTTAACTGGATTCTTTCCAGAGGAATGTTGTCACTGGAGAGAGCTGTTTGCAGGCCTGACAAAGTGTGTGGCCATCAGCAGCAGTGCTCAGGAAGGGACACAGGTTGTCAGCTTCATCCCTTGACCACTTTTATAATTGCCAAATGGCTGCACATAGCTCACCTCTCAGAGCCTATGGGCAGATGCCAGGCCCAGGGTTGGGCTCTCACAAGGCCCTGACATGACACAATAGAGCAGGGGAAATGTGACTAAGTAATCAAGCCTTTGATGTGAATCTTGAATGTATAGATAGCTCTAAGATGCTCAGGTCAGGCACCTTGGTGATCAGCAGCTATTAGTTCTTCCAGATCTCACTGGAAGTGAGATGACAATCCATTTTTGGCCAAATTTAGGCTTTGGCTTTGAGGCTTTCCCAGACTTTGGAATGTTGTAGCATGAGGCCACTGACTATTTTCTCAGCTGTCCCCAAGAAGCCCTCTAATATTCAGATTCCCAGCTCCCTGCTGCGTATTTCCGGTTTGTTCCTTGACCTCCACATCCCCTTTAGCCTCTACTTGGTGCTTTGACATCCATATCCTCGTATTTCCAGTTTGTTCCTTGACCTCCTCATCCCCTTTAGCCTCTACTTGGTGCTTTGACATCCATATCAGTGGTGTCTAGTCCTTGGGCATTCATCCTCTTTGATGGAAAACATCTCCTTAGTTTAAGAAAAACACTAACACTGAAGTGATCGTGCTTCTTTGCTTAGACTCTGTGGCTTAGGGGTTTGTGGGATTTCCCAGTCCTCTTCCTACAGTGGCTCTTGGAAGGATGAAATTTTCACAAGCAGCCCAGGGGGAGTAAACACAAGTATGGATGAAGGTCAAACTGGGAGCTGTTAACAGACACCAGCTACAGGCTCTGCTGAACTTGGGATGGATGTGACTGGTCTACCTGAAGGGTAGCACAGGTTCTGGCATGAAAGAATGTGTCTTTCTTACTGCATACCTGCAGTCCTTGGTTGCTTACCCTAAGTGACAGAAGTAAACACTAACTTCTAATAAAATTGTGTCACACTGCAATGGTACTGAGCCATGTTTCCAGGGAGTAGAGGTTGGCCAGCTCACAGCTGTGGGCTCAGTTCTTTTTTCCGGTCCCTCCATGACCTTGTATTCGAGGTAGGTCTGAGAACTCATTAGTCCCCACACTCCCCCTGGTGGAAGATTAAGAACAATGCTCACAAGGACTGGAACTGAGATTTAATAATGCAAGGATGAAAGGGCCTCAACAGTGACTAGAGTGGTGAAGGATCCTGAGAACTGTGCAGATGCAGCCCAGTTCTGCCTCTTGTGGGTCTGACAGAAGCTCTGGAAGTGGCTCGGCTTGGTCACTGTCCATAACTTAAGCTGTTGCTTGGCTGAATTCCTGCACTTGTGGTCTGGATGCCTGACAGACTTTTGCTCAATGCTCAGAAGCCCACAGCTCCAGGAAACCTGACTGGTTTCGCCTCGCTCTTCTCCAGGCGTAGTGAAACCAGGCCTGGTGGCTGGTGGCTAATCAGTGTTTATAGTCAGGCACTCCAACCCTAAATGCTGGCTGCCTGGCCTCCTCTGTACTGGGCTGAGGGGAAAGAAGAGACTGAGAACTTAGTCCAGCGCAGCCCACTGTTAGCGGTTCCCCCAGCAGATGTCCAGCTTCTGAGGAAGACACATCCTAGCAGAGGCAGCAGCTCCCTAGAAGAGACTTTGCAGGAAAGCAACCAAGAATTCCCACAGGGCCAACAAGGGAGCCTGAGACCCTGGGGACAAAATGGCCATCGTGGCCAAGTGAGCACTGATTTACTGACCACACCTCACATTCCAGAAACCTGTGACAACTGAACAGAGTTCCCTGACAATTCTGCTGGAACATGGTGTAGGCATGGCCTGGGGCGGGGGCCAACCTTGGAGGAGTCTTATGTGGGTCTTCCAAGAAAAGTTACAATCCCCTCCAAAAAAGAATCCCAAAATTAGGGGGCCCATTGTGGCCCACAATAGGGAGAGATTTAGAGTTCTGCAGCAATTAGGGGTTAAGAGCTGTTCGGAGGGGGCCAACCTGGGCACTCAAGGACCTCAGCTGGCCTACCAGTGAAGGCCTGAGGGTGGTGTCTTCTCATCTTTATTGCTTTCCAAGGAGAAGGGTGGGATCCGGACATCAAAGTGGGAGCCATCAGGTCTCTCAAAACGAAATGTGCCCCTAAGGATTGGAGAAGCTGCTTTAGAGGGAGAAAGGGCTGAACTGAAAGCCCTCTTGATCTGTGTGCATTCAGCCACAGCTGGATGAGGAAGGTTGGGGTTGTCGTTTGCCTAGCTCATGACAAGATAACCAAAGATCCAAGAGTCCCATGTGGCCACACACAAAAGCACAGCTATTCAGATTCTGTCATTTGGATATACGTACTATGTGAGCAGCCAACCTGTACTTGAGATTAAGGGGGAACCCAACTACACAAGCAATTCAGTAGAGTCCCAAGTCTTAGGACCTAATTAATTCCTTAGCCCACAAACCATAACCATAAAAACCAGACAGTCGCCGGGTGGTGGTGGCACACGCCTTTAATCCCAGCACTTGGGAGGCAGAGGCAGGTGGATCTCTGTGAGTTCGAGGCTAGCCTGGTCTACAAAGCAAGATCCAGGACGGCCAAGACTACAGAGAAACCCTGTCTCAAAAAACCAAAAACCAAAAACCAAACAAACAAAAAAAACCCCAAACAGTCCACACAGCAGAGAATAACACCTACTTGTGTCCATCTCGGGACCTCACGCTGCTGAACTGACACCAGCTCAGCCCGCCCGCCCAGGGTTCTCACTTTGGTGCTGTTGGCATGAGTGGAAATTGGGTCTCATAAGCCTGCCTCAGTCTTCCACGTGCTGTGATGACAGATCTACATCTCCTACACCCAGCTCCAGCTCTCACTTTCTAACTGGCAGCTATCTGGGGAGCTGAGCAACATACACTCCAGCATATACACTCACCACATGTGCCCACTGGAAGCTTGCAGGGAGACGTGGCTGCTATACTGGAATGCAGGCTGCTCCTTGGATAACACTGGTTCCTAAAAGAATTCAGACAAAATGGGTCAGGCCAAGCCCCAGAAACACATTCCCTCCATCCTGGGGCTACCAAATACTGACCAGATGCCTCCTTCACCCAAGCAACACACTAGAAAACATATCTACAATGAGCATCTTTCAGTACTTCCTCCCACAGCATGGACAGTGGCCTGAGCCTCTTACTCTGTCTATCTCTAGGAAAACAAACTGGGAGCACTCAGGGAAGGATGCTAGGCAGACTTTCTCTGACGACATCTCTCCCTGCGTTCACTCTCATGAATAAGTGCCAGTCACAACAGCACGCCCTCTCTGCCCACAGATCTTATTCTCTTGGTGACCATGAAGTACTGTGTGATCCCTGCTTTAGCAACAAGAAACAGACTTGGGCTATGTAATTTGCCCAAGCCAGGCATGGTGGCAATACTTTTGATCCTAGCACTAGGAAGGCAGAGGCAGGCAGGTCTCTGAGTTTGAAGTCAGCCTGGTCTACAAAGTGAGTTCTAGTACAGCCAGGACTGTTAAACAGAGAAACCCTGTCTAAAAAAAAAAAAAAAAAAAAAAAAAAAAAAAATTGCCCCAAAGTTATATAGTATATAGCTGAAATTTGAAGGCAAGCCCTACTGAGGATTTTTTGTTTTTCAAAAACATGACATGTAGCCCAACTTGGCCTCAAACTCACAATAATCCTGCCTCAGCTTCCAGGGTACTGGATACAGGTACTGCCACATACCCAGTCTGAATCCTATTTACTTCTCACCCCACTTTCCCAAGTGTCTTCTAACAGTGGTGCTGGATGACACTAGTATTACGTGTGACTTAATCTCTCAAGGGACAGGGTAGGATAGGTACCTGTCCAGGTAATATAAAATCCAATCTCTTTAAGAAGTACGAGATGGATGAATGCAAAAAGACACATGAGCTGACTTCAAACTTTCTATGTAGCCAAATACAGCCTTAAATTCTGATCCTTCTGACTCTATTTCCTACAAAGTCAGGGTTTTAAAAGATATGTCATCTGGGTATGATGTAGCGAGATTGTTTGCCTGACATGCACAAAGCCCTCAGTTTGATCCCCAGTGCTGGAGTAGGTGGGAAGACTAGAAGACGTGCTGCTCAGCAGTAAGTGCCTGAGCTTTGGGGCTGGAAAGGGGCTCAGCAGTTAAAGATCACATGCTGCTCTTAGAGAAGACCAGGGTTCCAGAGGGATGTGTATCAAGATAGGGATTCATGTAGCCCAGGCAGCCAAGGATGACCCTAAACATCCCAAGTACTAAGATTAGAGGCACATAACACCATGCTTAGTTAATGTAGTGCTGGGCTCAAACGCATGATGGCAGGCAAGCACTCTACCAACTACATCCCGTCCCTTATTTTTTTTTTTGTTGTTGTTTGTTTGTTTGTTTTGAGAGCCTGTGTAGCTTTGGAGCCTTTCCTGGAACTCACTCTGTAGCTCAGGCTGGCCTTGAACTCACAGAGATCCTCCTGTCTCTGTCTCCCGAGTGCTGGGATTAAAGGCATGCGTCACCACCACCCTGCTCCCCTGTCCCTTATTAATCAGCTTCTAAGTCTCACTCTTCATCTATGAAACAGGTTACAGACAAGCTACCCGACAGGGCTGTCGTAAGACTTTTAACCACAGACAACTCAGTATGTCACTCTGTCCATAACAGAGACCAAGAAAACATACCCGAGGTTCCCAGGCCTGCTAACAGGACCAGCAACTAGGCCGTAGTGGCCCAAGGGTGCTCACCCTGCCCACCACCCCTCGTCCTCGAACTGTCTCCAAGGTGCCTGAGAGACTGAATATCCGCCAGTGCCGCTCCCGAAGCTGGACCACATCACTGTCCAAGTTCTCCAAGCGTATACAGTAGCGCCACTGTGAGGGAAACAGTTCATGTGTGAGGAAGAATAATGCTTGGGCCAGCCCATCCAGAACTCCAAAGGCCAACATCTACATTTTACAGTGTGGATGGCTGCATCCACCCTGGCCAAGAGGCAAACATGTGCCTCCACACCTCCCCCAGGTCTTTCCTGAGCTCCTGCCAAGGGAGACACTCACCCAGTAGACGTGAGAATTCTGGGCTTCCTAGAGGGGGAAAAGGTTTGAGGATGAGACTAAGTTTGTTCCAATCAACACTTCTCAAATGAAGTATTCCTGCAAGGTAGCAGAAACTGATCAAGCTGTGAATATCTGGGAACCAATGATAAATGTGATAGAACTATGGTCAACAGCCTCCCAAATCCTTCCTGCTCTGCCCCCTCTCCAATCCTGTTAAAACCAACAGAGCTGGATGCCAACAGAAATCCACTACATGGCTCTGTTCTCACCAGCCTCACTGCCACCTGGGCCCCTGATATCCTTACAACCCTCTTACGACCATTCTTTGATGGGTGTTGACATGCCCCATGACTGAATCCTAATAGGCAGGAAGTCTTCCATTTATACTTGTATCTGCAAGCCTAGCTTGGGGTGAGGCAAGACAAAGATCACAACACTACTAAACACAAAGTATGATAATCAGTCCACACTGATTTAGGCAAGTATATGTATATATTTTTTTCACAAGAATGTATGTCCCTCTACCGGGGGCTGGAGAGATGGCTCAGAGGTTAAGAGCACTGACTGCTCTTCCAGAGGCCCTGAGTTCAATTCCCAGCAACCACATGGTGGCTCACAACCACCTGTAATGAGATCTGGTGCCCTCTTCTGGCCTGCATTCACATATGCTGTATACATACATACATACATACATACAAACATAAATAAAGAAATAAAAAGAATGTCCCTCTACCAGAAGGGGGAATGAGGAGCTAGCATGGAGGACTACTTCCTGGCCTGTGGGTTTCCTGCTCTAAGTCATGGTGCTGGCCATTATTACAAAGAGGCTACTCAACCCCACCCCATACATGAGCACTTGAGAGCAGAACCACAGGGCAGGGTTTAGGATTAGATACACTCTCACCCCATCCCAACAATCACATCAAGGATACCACACAGAATCTGGGGCCTAGTCTTGCGGGAAGAAGCCCACGAGAGCACTTACCCTCATGCCCATATAGAAAGGGATGACTGTGACACGGATGTTCTCAGTTGTTTCCCGGTGGACATCAGAGAGCTCTAGCCAGGGGTGATTCTTCTCTTGCCAGGCCCGTAGTGTTTCTCGAGCCACAAAAGGGGGTGCTAGGGGAGACAGCAGGTTAGTGAAGACTCTGCAGAGTCCTAGGCACAGCACCGACTCTCCAACTGTCCCTCCCAGAAACCCCTTCCCAGTTATGCCCAAGGGGACGAGACCAACACATAGCAAAAGCAGGCTGGAAGAAGGTGCAGGGCTGCTACTGAGATTAAGTAGCATGACACCGTGGGAAAGGACCGGGAGTTAAGAGCCCTGGCATTCGTTGGAACCTCTGGTTGTTACTATCTAGCAATTGTGAATTGCTTCTCATCACCCCAGCCTGTTTCTGCTGGTGTAAGGAAACAGAAGCCACTGACCACACAGGACACAGGGAAAGTGAGAAGGGATATGGGACTAGATCTAGCTGCCAGGTATGTCTGATACTCAGCTTCAAGAAAGGGCCTTCTCCTTCCTGCCTCCCTTCCTGAGAGATTACCTTTTGTCTGGTCATAGAGAAGAAATCTTTCGAAGAGCTCATGTTGGATGGGAACCTGATCTGTGGAGGTGTAGGGGAGGATGTCTTCATGGCTGACATAGTCCAAGCCTGGCACAGAGAGGCAGAGCTGATAAGACTCAGAGCACCATGATCCCTCCCAGCAGATGACAGGACATCAGATTCCTCTCCCTGGGACACAGCAGACCCCTGCTCCTCAGGTCCTCACCTGGGATGGCATAGAGGGCCCGGCTGTCATCATGGTTAGCCAAGAAGGTCACAGCTTCTGTCTGAGATCTCTGAGACTGAAGCAGAAGGTGATTCAAAGGTTTCTTGGCCACTACCCAGTCCTGAGGCCTTGATGTTCAGGGCTGACCTCAGCTCTGTCTGACCCCTCTTTGTCCCTAAATGAGTGAAGGGACCCCATGGAAGGGACCCCAGGCCCAGGCACTTTGCTTACTTACTATATGTGGACAGTCACGGGCATCAATCAGCACCTGATAGTAAGTGTGAGTTTTGCCTTTCACCTCCTTAGAGCCATGACCAGCGGGGTTCTCTGCTCTGCGGGGTAGGAAAAGCAGCTCAGATCACTCCAGAGAAGTGGAAGCTGTACCTGGCTCAGCTAACTAACACCTCCTCTCCAAAATGGGCTGGTTCATGATCTGAAGGGGCCTTGGCACAGGTTGGCACCTGCTCAATGCCACCTCCAGCTAGCCTCTCCCCAGTGAGAGCAAACATTGGAGCCTGCAGGACCCATGCAGTTACCGTTCTCTGGGCATCTCCTAGAGGAGGGCCATGACAAAAGAATCCAGTTGCTACCTGAGTCTGCAAGGGCACAAGGACTCTGTGCTTCTCCCACCCCAGGGTTGTCTGTGATCATTCAGTGGAGCTTCCTTCTTCTTTGAATGTACTCCAGGGTGATGTGAGATTAATGGAAAGATTCCAACAGGACATCAAGAAACCAACAAGAGGGGCTAGAAGGAGGGCTTAGTGGGTGAGAGCACTGGCTGCTCTTCCAGAGAACCAAGGTTTGGTTTCCAGCATCCACACGAAGTTCACACTGTCGGTAACTCCAGTTCCAAAGGATCCTACACCCTCTTCTGGCCTCCAGGAGCACTGCATGAGTGTGGTGCACAGACATGCATGCCAGCAGAACACTCATACACATTATATAAAAATAAAATCTTGCCGGGCGGTGGTAGTGCACGCCTTTAATCCCAGCACTTGGGAGGTAGAGGCAGGCAGATCTCTGTGAATTCCAGGCTAGCTTGGTCTAGAGAAAGTTCTAGGACAGCCAAAGCTACAGAGAAACCCTGTCTCAAAAATCAAAAAATAAACCAGCAGGTAAGTAGATAATAAAAACGAAGAGCAGTAGGCCATTTTGGGAGGCCAAAAGAGACCCTATAAACTTAGTATTAAGTACTCTGTCTCCATGGGTATGAGTGCCAGAGAAATACTCGGGGGTCATTTCTTTTATTTTGTTTGGTTTTTCTATTTGTGGGGTTTTTTGTTTTGTTTTGTTTTTAAATAAGGTCTCTCTATATAACCTTGGCTGTCCTGGAACTATGTAGACCAGGCTGTCCTTGGACTCACAGAGATCCTCCTCTGTCTGCCTCCTGAGAACTGGGATTAAAAGTGTGCACTACCATGCCTGGTTGGATTGGTTGTTTTGTTTTTTGAGACAGGTTTCTGTGTAGCCCTGGCTGTCCTGGAACTCACTATATAGACCAAGTTGGCCCCAAACTTGGAGATCCACCTGCCTCTGCCTCCTGAGTGCTGGGATTAAAGGCATGAGTCGTCGTCGTCACCACCACCACCACCACCACCACCACCACCACCACCACCACCACATAGCCATGGTTGGGGTTGTTTCTAAAGCCCAAGAGGATGCTATTTTCACCCCTGAGGCCCCAACTGAGTATGTCTGCCACAAGTCGGGCCACCTGAGGACACTATAAGCATGACAGGGAAACTTACTTTTCTGGAGCTGCAGAAGCCACGTCTCGGTCATACAGTCTGGCCTGCCAAGGAAACAGGACGACCCCTCGGTAGCCAAAAACACTATGAAGGAACAGCTAGGAGGAAAGAGAAACCTCACTGAGCCCGCCGTCCGGCAAACCCCTCCAGGTGGGGCGTGACCAGGAAGCAGCATGGGTGCAAGCCACTACAGAACAGTCTTGCCAGCCTTCTCCGAAAACTCTGTACTTAACCCAAACTGCAATATGCTCATGCCTCATCACTGGGCTGATCCCTCACCCTTCAAGTCACCTTTGGCCTTTAGGGAACTTTCCTTGACCTGCCCTCCTCTTAGTCCAGTATAGAGCCACTGATTATATTTGTCTTTCTTACAGATTTATTTTACTTTTAATTATATGTATGTATCTGTATGTGAGTATGTGAGTGCAGAGACCCAAGGAAGCCAGAAGCATTGAATTCCTGGGAGCAGGAGCTATAGACAGGTCCTCTGGAAAACCAGTAAGTGCTCTTAACTGCTAGGCCTTCTCTCCAACCCCTACTGACCATGTTTATATCATTTTCTTGGAGCTATGAACTCCAGAAAGAACACTCATGCATAACACCGGGTAAATTTTAGGCATACAAATAAAATAAATAGTAAGCTTCCCTTACTTACAATGGAACTTTTGTTTCAGGGGGGGTTTGAAGTTTTATAAGCCAGTCTGGACTCAGTCTTGCTAAGTAGATAAGAATGACCTCAAAGTCCTGATCCTCCTACCTCCACTTCCCAAGTGTTAGGATTATAGGAGTGGACCACCAGTCGGTTTGTGTAGCAGGATGCAAACCAGGGCTTCCAGCATGCTAGGCACTCTACCAACTAAACAACACCCCTAGCCTGATTTGTATCCCCCCACACCATTTCTCTATGTAGCTTTGGTACCTTTCCTGGAACTCACTCTATAGCCTAGGTTGGCCTCGAACTCACAGAGATCCGCTTCCCTCTGCCTCTGGAGTGCTGGGATTAAAGGTGTGAGCTACCACTGCCCGGCCTAATTTGTATTTTTTTTTTTTTTTTGGTTTTTCGAGACAGGGTTTTTCTGTGTAGCTTTGTGCCTTTCCTGGCTCTCGCTCTGTAGACCAGGCTGGCCTCAAATTCACAGATTTTTAATAAGAATCTTTTTAAATAATGGTAATTATTATTTTGGGGAGGTGTAAAAGGGTACACGTGCCATGGTGTGTGGAGGTCAAAGGATGCTCTATCTAATCAGTTCTCTCCTCCACCTTTACTTCTAGGCTTCCTCGGCAACTGCCTTTACCAGTTGAGCCGTATCACTGGCCTCTTACTGAATCTTCAAATAGCATCACTATATTAGACCTCAAAATTGAAGTGTTCCTTCTGCTCCCACTTCTGAGCGACGGGATTAGATGGTACTGTGCACCTACCTCCAGAAACCTCATCTTTAAAGAATTTGTGATTCTAATGCACACATGATATGCACAGCACTAACACAGAGGCACGCACACTAAATAAATCGGTGTAAAATATCTTTTGGGCCCGTCAGATAGTTCACTGGGGTAAAGGCACTTGCCACCAAACCTAATGAGCTGAGTTTGATCCCAGCCCCACATGGTGGGAGGAGAGAACTACTTTCCAAAGCTGTCCTTCGATCTCCATGCATGGGTGCTCTCTCTCTCTCAATAAATCAATGTAAAAACATTTTTTTTTAAATTTGTGATTCTGAGCTGAGCATGGTTTCTTACATCTGTAATCCCAGGATTCTGTAAATTAAGGAAATAAGATTGCAAGTTCAAGGTCAGCCTGGGTTATAGAATGAATTCAAGGCTAAACTGAGCTACGCAGAAGCCCCTGCCTCAAAACAAAACCAAAATTTATGATCTTGGTCTGCCACCAAACACAAGAATGGAAGCTTGGGGTTAGGCCAGGAGTCTAGCATCTGCTCCAGCACCATGGGGAAGGGGATGTGAAATGCAAGAAGAAAACACCACTGAGACTCAGCATTGTGGCGGAATTTGGCTCCATTCAGAAACAGAATATTCCATGAAAATGAGAGCTGACCCAGCACAATACCTACCTGCCCAGTCTCATATTTTCCATTTTGTTTTGGCACCTCAAACACACCAACTGTCTCCAGCACTTTGCCCTCTGCACGGTTTCTAGTGGGGAAGGAAAAGAATAAGCAAGTGAAATGCTGGGAAGGTAACAGTCCTTCTCCATCAGGAAAAACAAAACAAACAAACAAAACAAAACAAAAAAAAACCTAGCACACTGAGGGGCCAGGGTACGGTGCGGCCAGGGTATGGTGCCAGGACAATAGTGGAAGAGAAGGCCAAGGATGCTGTTTTTCTTCCTTTAAGACCCAGCCATCGGCCTCCACTTGGTGAAGCCTTTCCCAGTCTCCCAGTGTTAGATCAAACTACTCCAGATTTACTTCCCCTGTCTTCACTTACCATATCCAAGGCCACGCCTACATATCCTGGTTAAACGTACATCTTCACCCATGCCCATGGCCTCCCACAGCATTTTAACTGTCCTTCCAATTCTGCACTTCAGTTACTGGTGTCCCTGCCTTGAGTCCATGGGAGACTATCGTTTCCTGAGAGCAATGCCTCGTGTGTAAGAGGTGCTCAAAAAGCCTTCGTTCTGAGGCAAGCAGTTCTTCTGTTTCTGCTCTTACCTACTGCTTCCTTGCAGTATACTCAATAAACCTGTCATTTGCTACTTTGAAAAATTGTTCTGAACCAAACATGGTTCCACATGTCTGTAAACTCAGGGCTCTTGAGGCTGAGGCTAGAAGATCACAAGTTCTGAACCAACCTGGCTACATAGCATGACTCTCCCAATTCTACACATCCATCTACCTGTTAAACTATAACAGTGTTTACCCTGACCTCAGGACTTAACATCTCTAGATTCCCAAAAGTACAACATACAGTACAGTTAGTACTGAAGTCTCTCTACATACCCCCCCCACCCACGCAAGAATTATTTAATAGAACATACCTCTCTCAGCCACTATCAGGTCAGTTCCATCAATTACCTTTTTAAATAGGTCTAATTTTTCTATGGACCCGTCAAAGCACTGTGATTTTATTTTGAAAATGATAACTTCATACCCAACTCGATCACTCCTGCCTGGTCCCTAAAAGGCCTTGTTTACACCATCCCCAAGCCTCAAACCCTCTTTCCCAAGTCACATAGGCAAAACCAGTCTCCCCAAGGTCACACAGAAACCTAGGACCCACAAAGGTAGCCACTTAAATCGACTTGTTTCCCACGTAATGGCATCTTTTTGAGAGAAGCCATGACCCAATAGCGACTGGGGATCAAAGTCAAAATCCCGGCAGCTGGATTAAATGGCAGCCCACTACAGGTGCTGGGGACCCCAGCAAGGGAGGCAGGATTCGCTGAAGAAGCGTTCTCCCTCGGAGCTGCCCTGCACCGCCAGAGCCCTGGGCCGCGCTCCCTTCTCTGCTCCTGGCACATGTCCCAAGCAGCGCATGTCGGCTCCCTGCTCGAGACCCTTTCTCAGGTGATACTCCGGTTGCCCACACAGAGTCAGGCCTCCTGGCCTCCTTAGTGGCTAGGAACATGCTCCCCAAATTCTGGGCCCGGTCCCCTGGCCCCCTGGCTCCGTCCCTCACCGGGACGACAGATGCCTTCGCGACGTCGCTGTAGCCACCGGCAGCAGGGCCCCTGCTCCACCGACCGCACACAGCGGCCTCGACCCTCGGGCCGTGGCCAGCGACCGAGACCACCAGCGGCTGCCCACAGTCAGGGCCCGTCGGGCCGCACAGCTAGCCATGTCCGGCCCGAGCGCCCGCTCGGCTGCTGACACAGGGCCAGACCCGCGGCGGGGCGGCGTCCCGCCCCCGCCCCACACTGCCCCGCGCCTAGGCCCCGCCCCCCGGCCCTCGGGCCCGCCCCTCGCTGCTGCGCGGACTCCTCCAGCTACATCCGGCGCAGGTGAGCGGAAGTCCCCGTCTGAGATCACCTGACCCGAGCGCGAGCTAGAAATGGCGTCTTCCTTGCTCGGGGGCGAACGATTGATTCGGGCTTTAGGCCCTGGCGGAGAACTGGAACGGGAGCAGCTGCCCCGGAAGCTGCGTGCCCAGCTCGAGGCTGCTTTGGGGAAGAAACACACGAGCAGTGATGGCACCACGGGCCCCCGGCGCCTGATTCCCTTCCGTCTGATCCGAGAACTGCATCAACACCTGAGAGAAAGAAGTGAGCGGTCCCCCATCGAGAGTCACCGCCTCATTTTCAGATCTAATCCCTCCTGGAACCTCCCGCCCCCTCCCCCCGCCCCCATCACTCTCGCGTGCCTGCCAAGTTCTCATTTAGCCAGTCCAAAGCCTTTTCATAAAACCCCAGGTTCACCACTTACATCTTAATTTTCGTGGGAATGCCTCCTGTGTGACAAAACGTATTTGTGCAGGTTTTGTCGAGTGTCCTCTTTTAGGCCCACCTAAGTCCACCTGACTTCTAAGGAATTCGAGATTCCACCCCAGTTGTATCTACCATGTTGAGTTTCTCCTTATAATAATGTAGTGAGCTTCTCCTGTTTGGGAATTAGTGATTTTTCTTTCATCTCGAAGGCAAGGGTAGAGAATTCTGATTCCTCGCCCCAGCCCCCGTTTAGGGGTGAGGGTAGGGAAACAGAATGACAAAAACAAAAAACAAACTGTTGAAAGGTCTGAACTGAGAGTCGCATCTAGTTCTAGTCCTTTCAAAGAAGGCATTTCTCCTCCTTGAACCTGTTTACTTATCTATTAAGGGAGGGAATCGGGTAAACAGGCATGTAACATGTTTTGCCAGACTTGGCATATCCTGGCCAGAAGTGCAAAGAATAGATACTCAACTATTAGGACTTAAAGAGGACCTTAGAAAAAGATCCTCTAATATAGTGTCCTCTGAGTGCTTAGCATCACAACGACCCAGTCCTACCTAGGACAGATTATTTTCACAGAAATAACCTATCACTGGCAGGATAATTGAAGACTGACAATTAAAGTCAACTGTGAAGCACTAGGAAATACTTCAGTGGAATTTTCCTAGATTTTTCTTAGTTTAAAATGATCTTGAGTAAGAAGAAAAATAAATGAATACATAAGCAAAAAGAGAGAAAGAAAATGCTCATAAAGCTTGGCATGGCACATACCTGAAATCCTAGCACTTGAGGGGCTGAGGCAGGAGGATTGTGAGTTGTGGTCTAGATGAGGTAAATGAAACCCTGTCCAAAAAGAAAAAAGGGTGGGGGTTGTGTATGTGGTGCATTTGAGAGACAAACAGGTCTCTTAAGGTTAAGGTTAGCCTGATGTACACAAGCCTGTCTTGTCTCCAGATATATAAGTATATACATACATATATCCTAGGGATGGGTTAACAGGGATGGCCATTGGGGGGGGGGTTAAAATTAGGGCTACCCACTTCTATAAACTTGGTCTTCCAGCTTCATGGGTCATTATGTGGAACCTTTTTCTTCCCAGATTCCAATCTATACCTTCATGAACTCCTCAAAGGAAGTGAAATCTACCTTCAAGAGATTGTGAAACCTCCTCGGGTATGTAAGGGATATATTTGTGAGAGTAGTTATGTGCTGAGTTGGATGTAGATTTTATTAATCAACTTACGTGTTTGAAATATTGTATTTTAATGATTTGGAATGGCTGGGATATGATTCAGTGGAAGAGTACTTGACAAAGCCCTGAGTTCAAAAAATAAATAAAATTTGGGGGCCAGTGAGATAGCTTAACGAGTTGGGGCACTTGCCACCAAGCATGGCAGCCTGGCCTCAGTCCTCAGGACCCACATGGTGGAAGAAAAGAGGTAACTCTTAAAGGTTCTCCTCTTACTGCCACACATGCACTGTGGCTTTGTGTGCACATGTGCAAAGGAATACACACACACACACACACACACACACACATATGTATGTTATTTGGGGCCAGGCAGTGGTGGTGGTGCACGCCTTAAATCCCAGTACTTGGGAGGTAGAGGCAGGTGGATCTCTGAGTTTTAGGCCAGCCTGATCTACAGAGTGAGTTCCAGGACAGGCAGGGATACACAGAGAAACCCTGCCTTGAAAAAACAAAAAACAGGGCTGGAGAGATGACTCAGAGGTTAAGAGCACTGACTGCTCTTCCAGAGGTCCTGAGTTCAATTCCCAGCACCCACATGGTGGCTCACAACCGTCTGTAATGAGATCTGGTGCCCTCTTCTGGCCTGCAGTCATATATGCTGTATATATAATAAATAAGTAAATCTTTAAAAAATAAAATTAAATAAATAAATAAATAAATAAAGCCCTGTTCTGGAGGAGAATCTAAAAGAAAAAGAATAAACAAACAACAACAACAACAAAAAAAAAAATTTTGGAATCTAAAATCAGGGAAGTAAGCCTTGCCTGAAAACTTTGGAAAACTGAGATCCAGTAACCCATTTTCCAAAGCAGTATGCAGATACCCCCTAGCACTCTTAGCTATACCTTGCACTTTGGAACCAATGATTATGACATAATTTGCAGCAAGAAATATGTAGAAGAATGTCGTTCTTCTCATGTGGTTGTTTTTGCTTTAGAATCCAGAGCTAGTTGCCCGACTAGAGAAGATTAAGATACAGCTAGCCAATGAGGAATATAAGCGGATCACTCGAAATGTCACTTGTCAGGTAAGGGCCTACTCCTGCACCAGAAAATACACATAGAGTTTCAATTTTAAAAACAACAGTAGCAGAGTGTAGTAGCACATACCTTTAATCCAAGTAGTCCTGATGCAGGGGCAAGTGGATCTCTGAGTTTGATGCCAGCCAGAACTATAGAGTGAGACCCTGTCTCAAAAAAAAAAAAAAAAAAAAAGAAAAAGAAAAACATGGGAATTCAAACTCAGTTTATATACTGTTCTAGAACCGTAAGACCTCTATGTTCTGCCAGGCATGGTGGTACATGCCTTTAATCCCAGCCAGGGCTATTTCACAGAGAAACCCTGTCTTGAAAAACAAACAACAGCAGCAATATAAAAGACCTCTGGGTTCTGTCTAGATCAAACATATCTTCAGTGTGTTCACTGAGAATCTTGGGCTTAGATGGTAAGCAATTCTCAAATAGCATAGAAATGGAGATGAGCCTTGGAGCTTTTTCTTTATTCAAGGAAGGGTCTCTGTGGCCCAGACAGGCCTTGAATTTTGAATCCTCTTGTCCAGCCTCCCAAATGCCGGGATTACAGGTGTACCTGTAGCTTTTTTTTTTTCCACTGACAAGATTCATTTGGCATGTTTCTGCTATAAAGTAGAAAAGTAGATGGGTTCTGGGAGCCTGGATCCTCCTTTTTTTGATCTAGAGGGCATCATACCACTTCCAGAAAAAGAAGCCCTGGAGAGGACAGAATTAATCTTTTGAAGAGTAGAAAGGGCTGAGGCCAGACTGGCAAAGGAGGATTTCTGAACTGCTTTCATTCTGAAATCACCTGAGTTTTTTTGTTGTTTTGTTTTTTTCCCAGGATGCACAGCGTGGGGGGACTCTTAATGACCTGGGAAAACAAGGTGAGGTACTAGGAACCAGGCTGCTAAGTCTCCCTCTGGGACTGGTCATGGCCTTGCTTCCCACTCCACTATTCTTGGATCAAGGCTAAGATATTCAGTCTTGGTCCCTGAGAGAACCCAGTAGATGGGGAGCTATGAGGCTAATAGGGTCTCCCTGAGAATGTTGACCTAATGTTTCTTCTCTGAACTGCTTTCCAAAGTGAGATCGATGAAGGCTCTGGTCGTTACCATCTTCAACTTCATTGTCACGGTGGTGGCTGCCTTTGTCTGCACTTACCTGGGAAGCCAGTACATCTTCACAGAAATGGCTTCGGTGAGTAGGCACTGGGCAGAACAAAGTGCCCCTTGCTGGGGTTAATGGGAAAGGGAGGATGTGTGTGAAACTGCACAGGTTATCAGTTGCATGTATTTATGCAACAACCAGGGGACACATTTAGCTTTCCAGTAGTCACGGGGGCGAGTAGTAATCTGAAGAGCTGCCTTTCCCCAACAACTTAGAGCAGTGGGATCCGTTAAGATAGTTCCTCATGTTGTGGTGACCCCCAACCATATAATTACTTTTATTGCTACTTCATAACTGTAATTTTGCTAGTTATGAATCATAATGTAAATATTTGGTATGTGGGATATCTGATATGCGACCCCTATGAAAGGGTCTTTCGACCCCCAAAGGAGGTTGTGACCCACAGGTTGAGAACCATTGACTTAGGGAGTGAGAGGGAATCTCCATCCATATTAGAAGTGCTAAGGGCTGCAGATATGGGTGTTGGCCTGCATCACCTACACCTGGTTCTTCCCACTGGCAGAGAGTCCTGGCTGCATTGATCGTCGCCTCGGTGGTGGGGTTGGCAGAGCTGTACATCATGGTGAGGGTGATGGAAGGTGAACTGGGGGAGCTGTAACTTCACCATCAAAGTCAGGAAGAAGTTTGGGGAGCCCTAGAGTCTCCATTGCCCATCACTGACTCTCCGTCAATCCATGAAGCATTTTGTACTCCGCTCCAGTTAGTCAGAGGACCAGTCAAGTTCTTCTTTGGGGAGCCATGTCTGCTGTCAGTTTCCTTGGAGAAGAATAGAGGAGATTCAGACAGCAGTGTTTCTTTAAAACTGAAGAACTGGTCTCAGTAACTGCTCCTGAATCCAGTGCCCATTTGCCTTCTGCGGTCCATTCTGGGGTCTGCTGAGTCTGGGATTTTCCCATCAGAAGTAAGTAGAATCCAGACCTTCTCCCCAAATGGGCCGTACTGCCTTGAACTGGCCCAAGTGCATAAATCAGTCAGCATCTTTCACCCACATATCTTGGCACAAGATCTGTACCTAAGCAGAAGACCCTAAGGAAGCAGAAGGCATGAACCTGAGAAGAACCAGTCAGAAAATAGGCATCAAATAAATAAGAGAAAAACCAGTTGATACAGGATGGTGGAACTAGAAGCCAGGCAGCTAACTTTTTCTAGAAAAGGAAATGGTATCAGGCCATTTTCCAGAAGTCAAAACAGGCTGAAAGAAATCAGATGATCAGCTATGGTCCTTCTGTTAAATGGAGCCAAAGATGTCTACATTGTCTTGTTGTCTCTATGTTATGTTACACTTTCCAGAATGTAGATAAGTTAGATAATCTGTTTAAGGCCCTTGAAAAATGTTATTTATCCAATAAATATTTCTTGTGTTCAGTGTATTTTTATTTCAGATCCTTTAAGAGCACAAAGCACAAAAACTTCTGTAATTCTGAGACTTGCTCAGTATCTGCCCTTGTTTGCTACATGGTTTTGCTGTATAGTTCTGGCTGACCTCGAACTCACAGCAGTCTTCCACCTCTGCCTCCTAAGTCCTAGGATTCAGGCACATGCCATCATGGCAGGTCTTTGAGGTCTGTTGGGCCTGCCAGCTTTCCTTCCTTCCTTTCATGTGTCTGTGTGGCTATATATGCACACAGGAGCCTGAGGGGATGGAAGAGGAACTGGAGTTAGCTGGTGTGGGTACCAGGAACTGAAGCTCCATTCTCTGCAAGAGCTGTAAACCACTGAGCCATCACTTCAGCCCCTCAAGCCTCTCTCTTCCTAACTTCCTGTTGCCGTGTGTGAGTGTGAGTGTGTGTGTGTGTGTGTGTGTGTGTGTGTGTACAGGTCCACATGTGCCAGGGTTTTCAGATGGAGGTCAGGACAACTTGGAGGGGTTCCTTTTGTCCTTTACATTGTCGAGGCTGGGTCTCTTGTTTCTGTTACTCTACCGCATACTCCCGGCTACCTTTTCCTATCTCTTCTCTCTAGAAGTGCTGGGATCGTAGATCAGCACCATCTCTTTCGGTGGACTCTCCTCAGGATTGTACAGCATAGGCTTTTATCTACTGAGCCATCTCTGGACCATGGTTTTCCCAAGCTTGTCTCATAGTCTTACTAGATAGTAGACATTTTGTCAATTATGTTTATCAGTTCCTGTTAGTAGGGAGAAGCGTCGAGTGTAGGAAAGTATAAGTGGCGTTTTACAGTGTTTCTGATAACCAGGACTGTTAGAGTTGGGTCAGAAAGCCTTGCTGAAACCTGAGGGGCGACTTGCAGTTCACTTCCCTGTGTTCTCTGTATGCCAGGCTGCCTACATATCCTTAAGTACCTGAATTTAAGTTGAAAGCCTTCCAAATGTTAGAGGTTTGACTTCAGCAGACTCTCTTCCAGCAGACTGACCAGCCTAGGGTATCTATTTCACAGTAAACTTGGGGTCCTTTGTTGGGAGGAATTGTCCACTGGATCCCAGTCCCTCCACACAGGCCAATGAGCTTCAGTGACATCAAGCTCTTACAAAGAGGAGAGGAGTTCAGTGGGCCAGGTACTGTGCCAGTGTCTGGAGATAATCAAGCCAAGATCTAGCTCATGCCTTGTGTGTAATTAAGCAAGAGGCAAGCTGCAAGCATCTTTCCATCTGCACAGGCAGAGAGTGTTGGGAATGAGGTGGCCAGTTCACAGCACAGGAAAAGGAACAACTTTCTGCCACATTTTATCCAAAGCACTCAGGTTCCAGGAGGTGCTTAGCAGAGGACAGGAAATTTGGTTCTTACCAGTTTCTCATGATTTCCTTGTGTGGAGCAGAGGGAACTAGCATTTATTGAGTTTTTTAATCATGTGTCATCACATGAAGTTCCTTACCTACATGTTTCCCAAGACAGGAAGGGTTTCCATCCCTGCTTTGCGGACAGAATTTCAGAGTTGTAGTCACATAGCAGAGCTCGGTTTGAATCCAACAGAGATTGATTGCAGACTCCATGCTTTTCTCTCCAGAGCAGCTCCAGAGGTGGAGGGAACTGAAACATTCTGGCATGCAAGCTAGCTACTGTGTCCCCAGAGCCTGGGAGAGCTTGAGCCCTTTAATTAACCATCCTAATCCCAGCAGAAGCCTGGACATGATTCCTACCCAGTCTGTGGCACCTGGCCCTCTTTAGGGATTTGGTGGTGGGAGATAGCCTTCCCAGGCAGGCAAGCCTCACCCCCACTCATTTGCAATACGACAATCCAGATTAAAGTGCAGAGTTTTGTTTTATTTGGAGATTAGTTGGTATTACAGATGCCAGTGATAGGAAAACCCAAGGCTACCACACCCCCTCCCCAGATCTGTCAGGTTGTTCCCACAGCCTACATCAGAGGACAGCCAATCTGATCTTTGGGGAAATTCAATCAACCTAAGACCAGGGCTTCTATTTCTGTAATGTTAATATCACTCTCTCTCCAAATCCAAAGTTCTGATTAATTTGTCCAGGTGGCAGGAAGTCAGGCAATGGGGCCCTGAACCATGAAAGGGTGGGTGTCCCAGCAGTCCAGCTTAGGAGCAGTACCCTTCCCCTGGCACATAGGTAAGGTCCTGGCAGGGCCCTCAGACTGGTGGCTGCCCCCTCAGAGGAAAGGGATCATCAACTAAGACAGTAGGAGTTGGGGACCCAAGCCCGGCAATAGAGGTTGACAACATGGTCCCTTACCTTGACAGTACCTCCTGATGAGACAATGGGCATATGCCCCAGAAATGACCAGGGCGCTGGGTGGTAGGAGCTAGACTCTAATCCCTGCACAGGACCTTCAACTAGGTTGCTGGAGGTTGGGAGTGGAGGGGTGGGTCTCTGAGCTAAACTCTGTTAGAGAACACTCCTATGTAAAAAGAGGCAGGGTTCTCTTATGTGCTCCATCCCAGGAGAGATGGAATGGGCTACAAGAGCCAGAGCCAAACTTACAAGCTCTACACCCAAATTAGGAGTGATCTACATTGGTGACAATGGCTGAGGTATAGATAAGGTCAGACAGGCTGTCCAGTGAAGTCTGAGGAACAATTTGCTCTAAAGAAGGGTGAACCCCTGAAGCCCCACTTGGCCCCCATGAGGCTGCAGCTTTAGCCCCTGCCCAGCTCTGCCCTGGACCCAAGCTGGGAGCTACACAGGAGGTCTGTGGGCATGCTGAAGCATGCTGAGCAGAGCTGGTGGAGTGTAGAAGCTGGCCTGGTGTTCCGGGGTCCCAGGGCTGCTGGGGGGTGTCTGGAAGACAACAGGAGTTGGGAGGAAGCTCCAGGCTAGGGTTTAGGGCTCCTGGCTTTCTGCTCTTGAGTCTCTTGGCTCGGCGGTTCTGGAACCACACCTGATAGGGAAGATGAAGGGATATCTCTTGGCACCAGCACGCTCTCCTGGGACGGAAATCCGAATACGAAGGCAGGATTCCCAGAGAGAAGAGGCGCTGTGTGAAGCCCAGAAGTTCGCTATTGCAGCTCACCTGGATCTTGGCTTCAGGCAGGTGAGTCACCTGGGCCAGGTGCTCACGAGTACTGATGTCAGGATAGGGCCTAGCTGCAAATACCCGTTCCAGCTCCAGCAACTGCCCAACGCTGAAGGTGGTCCTCTTTCTCCGATGGGGACCCAACCCACAGCCTGTGGGCCGGAGGCGTGAGTCAAACCAGAAACTCCTTTGCAAGAACCTCGGCTCTAAAGCCTTGATCAGCTCGGTGGCCCCAGTCCCTGCACTCCTCACCCTTCACCATCCCACCCTGCTGCTCTTCCTCACCCTACCCACCCTTTCCCCACCAGGTCACCTGGAGATGCCTCCACAGGACCGGCCATGGAGCTGGCACAGGGCGAGGAGCCAGAGGGCCATGCCAGGGCTGTTGCCCACACCAGACTCGGGCCTTAGGGTTTTAAGCTGTTCAGAGTGCACCGTGGCTCCGCCTCCAGAGGGAAGAGGCTTAGCGGTCACTCAAGGGAGGTTGAGAAAGCAGGATTGGGGCTAATCGAGGTCTAGGTTGGACCAGATTGGTGCACACCCCAGCTTTCACCAAGAAGCTGGTCACACCTCCCTCCTCAAACCTCAGCCTCTGGCAGTCTCTGCTTTCAGTCCTGTACCGTGTGAAACCCTTGCCCCAAACCACAGAAATCTACCTCCCCAAAGCTCCCAGGGCTTCAGATGCTCCCTAAGATCCCCCAGTGTCCCGGTCTTGGCTACCTTCAGGGAGAAGCAGGTGGATTCCTCTCCCACTCTCTGAGGACTTGGCAGAGAAACTGGGTGGGATGAGGATGCTGTTGGAGCCACCTACGGTCATCAGGGCTGGGGAACAGTTGCCACCACCAGCTTGCCCTCAGGGCTGCTCTAGAACCCTTTCTGGCTCCTCTGAAGGCCAGACAGGCTTCCTGAAACCCAGGATCATGGAGCCAGGGAACATTCCACGGGCAGAGCCAGGGGTTCACAAAGACATTCCCTTTTACAGCATTTCCTTCTGTGAGGGTCCTCTGAGCTTTTTTACTATGAGAAAGGGGGTGTATGTCAATGTTCTTCCTGTCCTTGCCTCCTCCTCCTCCTCCTCCTCCTCCTCCTCCTCCTCCTTCTCTCTCTCTCTCTCTCTCTCTCTCTCTCTCTCTCTCTCTCTCTCTCTCTCTCCCTCCCTCCCTCCCTCCCTCCCTCCCTTATCCCCCCCTTTCTCTCTTTCTCTCTCCACCCTATGCCCAGGACAGAGGCCTCAGAGAAAAGCCCCCATTGGGTGTGTGTTGTGGAGGTCTGTCCCTCTGTTGCTTAGAAGTTAACTGTGTTCTAGATGCACAGTGGACAGCAAAGCTGAGTCGAATTCCATCCTTTCGCTTCTCATCTCCTCGGAGGCCCTGGTTAACTCCATGGTTAAAGAAGCTTCACCTGAGAGGGTGGCTGGGTAACTGCTGTCATCACCACAGCGACTGGAGTTCATGTTCAACTGCAGAGCGGGGGTTGTGGGGGCAGGGGAGACTTGGAAGGGTAGCTCTCACAAGCCCCCAGTGTTTCTGGTTTAGGGAGAGCACCTGAGCCTATTGGGGTCTTCTCTGCCCCTCCTCAATCAGTCCTGAGAGCCTCACTTGTCTTTTGTCCAGGGGACAGGACTGCCCACCCTATTCAGGACAGTAGTCTGAAACTCAGGGCCAACAGACTTTATTGGGCTGGGAGGAAAAGGCTGAAGGATGAGTTTCTCCCGCCTCTGTTACGTGGGCTCTGACTCCTACTTTTCAGGAGCTGGGCAGCCCAGCCAATACTGAGCAATGGAGCGTGGGTAGGGAGGGTTCACCGAGTCCACTCGCTGCGTTCTAAGGTTGACTCGGTAGTACTTGTCTGAAAGAGAGAACGGAAAGAGGCTATATTAGATCCTGCCTGGTCCTGTCGCTGGTCCCAAGGAGGAAAACAAGGGTTTCTCTCTGAAGTGAAAGGGAACAGAAACCATGCAGATAGGGTCACCATCTACAGCCTGTGTTCAGCACCCAGGGACCAGAGCCTGCCGGAAGGGCCCAGGCAAAGCCAGCTTCAGGATATTAGGGGCTCTCACCTCCAGAGAAGAAATAGATGCTCTGAATGGGCTCGCAGGTGGCAGGTACGAGCCAGTTCATATCATAATCATAGTTGTAGGCGTCTAGCCCGCTCTCTTCACTAGAGAACAAAGAGAACCAGATTGAACGCGATGAGCGACGGGAGTCCAGGCTGCGGCTGCGGCTGCGGCTGCGGCGGGCACTCTCCTTGCGTGAACGGTAGCGCTTTCGGCTGCGACGCCTAGACTTCTTTTTTTTGGCCTGCAGGGAGTGGGGTGCGGAGCCCGAGATGTAGATGCGGCCAGCCATAGCAGCGTCCACTTTTCCTGGCACACCATGCCAGTCCCGGCTGATGAATTGGGGTTCTCTGACACCGTCTGTAGCAAGGAAGGGGTTAATGCAACTTTGAGAATCCAGGCTTTGATTTTTTTCAGCAGGACATTTATTTATTATTTATATATTTATTTTCCTTGAAACAGGTCTCTCTAGGTATCCATGACTAGCCTAGAACTCACTATGAAGACCAGGCTGGGCTCTTAACTCACAGAGATCCACCTGCCTCTGCCTCAGAGTGCTGGGATTAAAGGTGTGCGCCACCACCGCCCGGCTCCAGCAGGACCTTTAGAGTTCATCTTGCCCAAGACACACAACAAGCTCATGATAGAACTCAGTACCCAGCACTCAGGCCTCAGACTCCCTGTCCAGTGCTTTTTCCTGTGCCCTCTCTCCACTGTATCCCTTGTATCTCTGCCCCCTCCCAAATCCCTCATCCACGCCCCCCCTCCTTCTGCTGTGTTAGGCAAAGTTCAAGGTATGGGGTCCAAATGGAGCCAAGCCTCACCCCCAAAAGTCAACAGAAGCAAAGTCTAGCCAGAGCAAACAGCTCCTGATCGATGGTGCCGCGATGGCAGTCCCCTCCCCCTGGAACCCTCACCACCGCAGTCCAGCCCTACTCCAAAGCTGCTTTCTGGAGAAAGAAGCCAGACTCGCGCTCCCTCCATACCAGAGGGTCTGCCCCAGAAGAGGAGTGCAAAGATGTCCTCCCAGCTGTCTCGCTGAAGCAAGGCAAAGTGCTCAAACACAGCTGACAGAGAGCTGCCTTCACATTCCTCCTGGCTGGGCTGCTGCCGGAATACATACTCCCAGTACCGCTTCCCTGAGGAGCAGGACAGCAGGCATCAGAAGGGCAGGTCTGACTAAGGCTGGGCAGCTCCGAGGCAGGGTGGGACCCAGGGAAGCGTAGGAGAGAGACTCCTCCACCACCCACCCTTTCTCCTTCCACCCCGAGTACCCTTGAAGAAGTAGACCCTCTCCTGGCCACTGTAGCTGTGGGCAGGAAGGGCGAAAGCCGCGTCGACATTGTCTGGTATGCCGCTGAAGCCTTCAGAGATGTTTTGGGGATAGCCAGGGTCCAAAATACCGTCCTCAAAGCGCCAGTACTGACTACCCTGAGGGGCAGGGAAGACAAAAAGAGTGAGGACATACTGCTGGAAAGAGAGGCAGTCCTGTATCCTGTCACCAGCTCCAGGAGCCCCTGACTACCTTGTTCTCACAGCTCCCAGCACCTTCCATGATACTCTTTACCTTGACTCATAGACTGGGGTCTGGTACCTTGAAAAGGTAGGTCTTCCCCTGACAGTTGATGCGAGTGAAGGCAGCATCAATGGGACCCTCGATGCCCCAGACATCTCGGATGAGCTTGGGGTACCCAGGCCTCACTGCTGTTTCGTCTAGCTCATAGCAGTACTGCCCTAGAGGAGGGGAAGCTGTGTGAGAAGCAGATGATCCTAGGCAGCCCCCCCCCCCCCGACGACCAGACCTGTCCATAGAGTCACCTCGGAAGGCAAAGAGGGAACCGTTCTTGAGGTCGGTGAAGGCGTCAAAGGGCTTCCCACTACAGAGCTCTTCCTCTGGGGAGTCAGAGGTCCCTTGATCAGTGGTCTCAGGGCTTGTGGTCACCTCCTGGTACCCCACTTCTGGGCCTGAGGTGCTTGCCTCCAGTATAGGAGCCTGTTCCTCGGGCTTGAGGAAAGATGTCGGCTTCGAAGTCCCTTCAGTTTGGGGCTGTTGGTCAGGGTGTTGAGAAGTGTTCTCTGTTTGTACACGGGTGCTGGTGTCGTTCTTGGTCTCCTCCGGGTAGTCATAGTTCCAGTACTCATCTTCGGGCATAGTGAACACATCCCCCCGAGTCACTGTAGGCAGAGTGGGCAGTAGTGAGTTTCCCGTTGCACAGGGGACCCCCACCCCTATCCACCAGGGCTCTGCACGAACCTTGGGGCTTGCACTGTGCCATGTAGTCAGCGCAGCAGCTCTGATAGTAACTGCAGAGCTCGTCACACTGGCACTTCTTGTTGGCCACGAAGCCCTCAGCGCAGCGGCCCTTGCACGACTCTGTGGGAGGCAACATCAGTCTCTACAGCCCAGGCCAGACCCACCTTCCCACCCTGCATTGCCCTAGATGTCCACCAATCACCCCCACACACCTTGGTCAGCCAGGGAAACCCATGCCAGCAGGGCCAGTATGAGAAAGGGCCTCAGAGGTGCCATGGCAGGCCTCTGGTAGAGGGCCTGGCAAGCTGGGCTTGGAGCTTCCGGAGTCTCGCCGTCCCGCCTGAGAAAAGAATCGAACTGAAGAGGAGTTGCTAGTTTACTGGGTTCCTGCCTCTGTTTGCTCATCCTCCAGCCCAGCCCTATTCCCCTCCTCCAAACACAGCTGCAGCAAAAGGGTCACATTCCCAGAACCCCAGCCCTAGGAGAGCTGGGAAACAGAACCCTCGCCAAGACCAGAGTCAGGAGGGTCATGGGCAGCCGGGATAGCATGGTGGGCTGGGAAGGCCTGGAAGAAAGCGTGCGTTGTCACCCTGTGAGCCAGTTACGTTAAAGTCTCTGAGCCTTCCTTTTTATGAAATGGGACCGTGGTGCCTGGCCTCATCAGGTGTTGAGAGATTATGTGAGCTAGAACAGACAAAATGCTTGGTGCCCTGAGTAGATTCCAACTCATTCCCATCAGCAGTTATTGATTTAGTGTTTGCTCAGGCGCATCCCGGACTAGGTGTTTGTTCCACCTACCCCCATGTCCCAGGTGGATAGTTAGGGCCCTGGGGTGGGGAGAGCTGCCAACCTCTGCGGGAGGTTTCTTTTCTTACCATAAAAGAACAAAGCTTCATTTCTCGCCTCTCCTTGTGGAAGCACGGTTCTCTCCAAGCTGGGTTTCACAGCTCAGGGAGCAGTGGCTCCATTCTTGTCTTTAATTTTAGATGTGTGTGTGTGTGTGTGTGTGTGTGTGTGTGTGTGTGTGTGTCTGTACACCACGTGCACGCCTGGTGTCTGTGGAGGTCAGAAGTGGACTTTGGACACCCTGGAACCAGAGTTTTGAACAGTTGTGAACTGCCATATGAGCGCTGGGAATCAAATTGGGGTCCTCTGCGAGAACCAGTGGTCTTGAAGACCAAGCCATCTCTCCATTCCCAGAGCCTAAGATTCCTCAGTGGACCACCCCAGAACCCACCTTCAGTGACCCCATCTATAAAGAATGGACTGATTGGGCATATTTTTAGACTCACAAAGTGTGATCCCTCTATGAAGAAGATGAAGAAGATGCTCACTGGTACAGAACGCCAGGTTTTGTGCCAAATTTCAGACACCGGTACGCTTTTGAAGCCCTTAAGTTTCCTGTCCTGTAATCACAGGGGACTGTGCCTTTGGTGTCTCATCCCTCCGGGCCACAGCAGTCTCAGCGGCAAAATGAAGCACTAAACCTTACTCCCTACAGACATGTGAGGCCTAAGTGGAAACAGGCATTAAAGGGCCTTAAGAATCTCAACTGCGATTCTTTAGCCATCCGAAGGGGATGTGGGTACATTCAGCCGGTTTGCTTCCACATCACCCGGGGCAGGGCGAGCGGTGGGGATCGAGGACCGCTCTTCCCAGCCCTTTTCACTATCTAGCAAATCGCGTAGGGGAGCCGACTAGAGAAAGGAGGTGGGGCCAGTGAGGCCTGGGTGGGGCTTGCGCCTGCGGCAGGGGCGGAGCCTGCGAGTACTAGAGGCGGGACTCCGCTACTCAGAGGCGTGGTTGCTGTTGAGCATCTCAGCTCCAAGGAGCAAGAGGCTGCAGCTGCTCTTTGTTCCTGGCACCGGGGTCTCTGTCCTCCCGCGACGGGTCCATCCTTTGCTTCCCTCTCCCAGCATCCCCTTCCCCAGCCGCTGCGTCCCCGAGCTGCCCTCCTCCCCCTGCTTCTAAACCTGTGGCCCAGCGCCCTTGCCAGGTCCTGGTTTTTGCTTTTTCCTCCCAAGGCCGGGGTCGCTCCGCCAGGCCCCGCCCCTCCAGGCGCGGTATGTCCCCCGCTGCCCAGCGCCCATGGTCCTGACGCTGCTCTTCTCCGCCTACAAACTGTGCCGCTTCTTCGCCATGTCTGGCCCACGGTCGGGCGCCGATCGGCTGACAGTGCCGGGGCCGGATAGGAATGGCAGCGCCAGCCCGTGGTGGGCTGCGGGCCGCGGGTCTCGGGAAGTGTCGCCCGGGGTGGGCACCGAGGTGCAAGGCGCCCTGGAGCGTTCGCTGCCAGAGCTGCAGCAGGCGCTGTCTGAGCTGAAGCAGGCGAGCGCGCCGCGGGCGGTGGGCGCGGGCCTCGCCGAGGTCTTCCAGCTGGTAGAGGAGGCCTGGCTGCTGCCGGCCGTGGGCCGCGAGGTGGCCCAGGGTCTGTGCGACGCGATACGCCTGGACGGTGGCCTCGACTTGCTGCTGCGGCTGCTGCAGGCACCGGAGCTAGAGACCCGCGTGCAGGCCGCACGCCTGCTGGAACAGATCCTGGTGGCTGAGAACCGGTGAGGGAAAGCGCCGTGAGGTGTGGAGGGGCCAGGGCAGCGGATGTGGTTGGAGATGGCATCCCTTTGCTGATAGCCCCCTGAGCCCATAGCTCTCCCGTGTATCTGGGTGCCCTTCTATGCTACCCTCTCACTAGGCCAGCCATGACCTCATTCTGCAGCGCCTGATCAGGAACAAAAAAAGTTTTTTTGCTGGATTGAGAGGGTGGGGCAGAGGAAACTTAGGCACCTTCCCTTCCTCTGTATGTGGGAACAGTCTATGCCTATCCTTCGCCTACCTCCTGGGACCTTCTCTGAACTATGAAGCCCTCAGAGAGCTCACTTTCCCAATCCTTTGGTGCCAGAGAACGGGCTGTCACATTCCTAATTCTCGCTGAAATCTCAGGCTCTCAGCTCAGAATCTTTGGAAAAGTCAGTTTCAGCACGTTGCTCTCACAAGTGCTGTGGAAATGAGCAAGGGGCCTCTCTCTCTCTCTCTCTCTCTCTCTGGCGTTTTCAATCACGTGGAAATAATGTAACTGTCAGACATGCACGAACAGAATAGTTTAGGTTGGGAGACCCAAGGTCAAGTTCTGCTTGCCTTACCTCTCTCATCTGGTGTCCTGATAGGGATGGGCCGTGAATATGGAGAACCCAAATTGGAGTGGATGCTTGCTGAGTGTGTTGGGGCCCAGTTTGGCCGGTGCGGGCTTGGTACGTGGGACAAGAGGCTAGAACTAGTACTTGTGGAATGTGGGTGCAGAGAGCACCCCAGGAGGAGCAGGACTGCAGGATGCAAACATACTGATATGTTTTCAAGAACGAAAATGACCATCCCCACCTACTGAGAGCTCTGAGGGAGTAACCGCTCGAGTACCAGTCCCCAAACACGGGCAGATGTTGCTTCAGGACCAAGGACAGGGCACAAGTCCTGGTGGCCTTCATGCTCTTTCCCCAGAAACCCAGGGGCTCTGCATTCTTCCAGGGTGTGCAGGGGTAAGACTGGAAG